GACTCTTGCTATTCCATGGAATAAGCATATAGATGATACTTGTATTCTATTCTATATAGCATATACTAAGTGACTCTTGCTATTCCATAGAATAAGCATAGAGGATACTTTTATTCTATTCTATGTAGTATATACTAAGCGACTCTTGCTATTCCATGGAATAAGCATATAGAGGATGCTTCTATTCTATTCTATTCTATATAGTATATACTATATACTATATACGAAGTGATTCATGCTATTCCATGGAGTAAGCATAGAGGATACTTCATTCTATTCTATATACTATACACTTAAGTGATTCGTGCTATGCGAAGTAACAGAGGAAGCATAGAAGATACCTTGTAGTGTTCTGTACTATACTAAGTAACAGCAGAAGCGTAGACGATACTTAGTAGTATTCTGTACTTAGTGATCCATGGAATAGTAAATAACCGAGGAAGCTTTGATGCTTATTTTAATATTTTCTCATATTTGAGGAGCGGAGCGAGAGAGATCAAGGATGGGGGGGCCAGTGTCTTCGAGGTAGAGGGGTTTTCGTTCTCTCATTTGTCTTGTGTACTCCAATCATTGCTGTTGGACTGTGCTTGCCTTTTGCATTCGCGCCTTTAACTTTTGTGATGGCTTTGCTATGTCAGGTGAGTGCCTTTTCAAGCTCTTCACGGCTGTTCATCCTGCAGTGAGAGAATGGAAATCGCCGTGCCGACATGTGGGTGCAAATGCAGCCGCTTGTTGCTGCTGCAAGCTTCCGTGTCAGCCTGCCTGCCTGTTTGGGGCTTTCATGTAAATTGTCCATCCAGTTGTCAGAGATCTGGGCTGGTGAGATGTGACTGAATTCTTCTTGTGTCCTTCCCCAAGAAAGATGGTTCGCACTACTCCCTGCAACAGTAAAGGATAAACCACCCCGCTACCTCCGGGCCGCTTTTTGCCGAGGCGGATTGGCACTGCACGCCAAGCTTTGCCAAACCGCCAGTGGCGCCACCAGACATTTTGGTCTGGTGGCACTGTTCAGTGTTCACCCGATATCTCCGGATTTTTGACTCAATATTCAATTTTTGATTCTCCAAGTTTTTTGTGCGAGATGTACTGTCGGTTCAAGCTCGTGTTTCGTCCCCTCGTTTGCACACCACTTCCCCCGACCGCAAAGAGCGAGCTTTCGTCTCTGGAGGTGGGCTTGGCCACCACCGTCAACAGCCAGCACTGTGGCGCAGAGATAGCTTGATGGAAATTTGGTCTGAGGGAGCGCAGCCCCGCAACATGGTTTAAGTGGCCATGCTATTTCTGGATGTGGGATTTGGTCCCGGGCTCGGCGCCAGTATAAAAGAGAGAGACGTGGGGTGGGCGACCTGCAAGCCCCCTAAAGCCAGCTGGCCCTGGCAAGACCAACCCTGTGCCAGTTTGCCATGTCTTGCTAGCTCTGGCAAGAGGTTTGGTATAATTATAGCAGTGGGAAGAGCGGGGGTGGTAAAAAAGTAACATTGCGATTTTCGTTGTTCCTTGCAGAACGAAGTGGGACGGCACTCTGCTGGTCCCGGCTGCCTCGGGTTGGCCTATTGGAATGGAGCTATTCCCGAGAATGCGTTTGCTTTGCAGTTCCAAGTATAGGCATGGCTATTTGGCAACGATGTGCTTGCTGTGCTTGATCGCCTTGCTCTATTTTGAGCAGATTGCACCGGCTGGGTACAATACCTTCTTCTCCTGGGGAGTACCGTCTATTTCTGAGGGTGAGGATGCCGAGGCGATGAAGAGCACGTTCGGAGGGAATGCAGTCAATGACCACTGGAACGCTTCTGAGAGAGCAACTCAGAGGGATGGCCGCTTTCCGATTAAGGATGAAGGATCAGTGGACGTTTGGACAGCTCGTCAAGTGACAGGTCAGCAGCTCCCTCGTCCTGTGGAACAACGAGCTGTGCAGAACGGCGAAGAAGAGAAACGGCGTGATGCGATGGGGCACAGTGTGAGAGGTGGTGGTGTAGAAGTGCATGAGATGGCGGCCAACACACCCTCGCGCAATGTAACAGGGCCGGATATGAGGAGTGGCCATCCAAGACGCGCCAGCACGAGTGACGACCGCGAAAAGCAAAAAGCAACGGGTCGTGATGCTGGTCTTGTTGGAGTATGCCTTGTCGGAGGTGCACGGATGTTTGAGCTGACGGGGCCAAGCATACGGTTGAATCTTCTCAGTGTTTTCCATAGGCCTGTCGTATTCTTGCATGCTCCGTTTGACGAGAACGCTCACAAGCTCTCGGAGCTAATTCTCCCACCCAAATATGGCAACGCATCTGGATCTGGCGATGTGCTGTTTGGTGGCGCGCGCATCTTCACACCCAGCTGGCTCGCTCTTGATCCTGCTCTTTCGAATCTCCTCTCATCCATGGGGTCGCCTATGGGGATTCAGGGGCTGTTGCAGTACTTCAACCTTGTGGAGGGCTGCAATGACCTCATCGAGGGCTACGAGAGGAGGCACGGTGTTCAGTTCTCCTGGATTGTACGTGGACGGCTTGATACGTTTTGGGTGTCCCCTCTTGAACTCAAGCTGGAAACGTTAGATCCCGCAAAGTACTATGTTCCGTTTGGGTCGAGCTGGCGTGGTTTGAATGACCGTTTTAGCATTGGGAGCAGGGTGACCAGCCACGTGGCCTTTGCCCGAATGTCGGCGTTGCGGAAACTGCACGAGCGTGGTCTCAAAGGGCTGAACTCTGAGATGGCGCTCTGGTACCAACTTAACGTTAGCAAAGTGGCAATCGGTCAGCTGACGAATGTCCCTTTCTGTGTTCTGAGCAGACGAGAATATGAATGGCCGCCCGTCAACCCTGTGGTGAAGGTGGGGAGTGTGTGGGCACTGAACGGTGTCAAGTGTGGACCTTGCGTGCCCGCTGTGCATGATTTAACAGAGCATCTGGCGAGGTTCAAGAAACTCGAATCTTACTGGCTACAACAAGAAATGCGAGATGTCGAGATCTGTAACCAACGAGGTAATTGGCCGCCGGATTGGGAGGAGCTGTACGATTCGGGCGTAGGGGAGCCATATGTGTCCCTGCGGAAACGTTTGAAACTGCGCTCGTTGACGGAATGTCAGCACGAAGTGCGCGATGCCATCCGCAAGGTGGAAAGCTGGGATGGACCTGGGGAGGAATCGCTGTGCGCCCGGGGAAGGATGGGTAAACAGGTTTATATTTCCCTCCCCCTGGGCCGACGGTGGCCTATTCTTCGTGAGCATCTCTGGAGGGACAGTGTAGTTTTCTCATTCGACTTACAAGGTGGGGACTGGAAGAGACTAAAGAGGCTTGCTATCGGTATGGAAACCGTCGAGTTAACTTCATTAACAGATGAACGATTCAGAGAGCTCTGGAAAACTTACATGTTTCCGCCTTTTGAAGGAGGGAAGACCGGATTTCCTGCTTCAGAGAGTACGGAGGACACGGTTGTAATCCAGAGGGGACAATGTGTGGAGAGTTTGCTTCTAGCTCGAACAGGTCGAGGCGTGGACAAGCGAGCGGCAGTGCTGCCTCTGAATAACCGCGGTGCTTCAAAGAGGTACACAACTTCTAAAGACCTGCTGAGATCTTTCCTAACTCCTGTTTGTCTTCAGCTACTTCTTCGGGAGTGGAAGCTTCCTGTTATGGACTTGCTGCATGTAAATATAGGAAGAGGGGTAGCACCAGAGCAGATTGAGAGCTTTCTGAGTGGCCAGGAAGGAGACAAATCGCAACAGAACAGTTCAACTGGGGTAGGAAGCCTCAAGTTGCCCGTTTGCCAGATGATAGTTGAGTTTCCTTATCGTAAGCTAGGGCTTCAGGGTGAACGCTGGGAAAAGGACAGACCTGTTATTGCGGCTGAAGGAGGTGGGGAGACCAAAACCCGCTTTCTGAATATTGTCGAACGCTGGGGTCTGGTTCTTGTCAAGTGCGAGCCAGTTGCTGAAGGAGACGTGACCTTGGACACGTGTTTGTTTTTCTCCCCAAAATATTGTGATTTGACCCTCAGAAGAAGACTCTGACGTTAACTCTATTTCAGATTTCCCACTACAGATGATGGTTAGCTGCATGCAATTCTGCATGCATGACCATAACCCTCTCTCTCTCTCTCTCTCTCTCTCTCTCTCTCTCTCTCTCTCTCTCTCTCTCTCTCTCTCTCTCTCTCTCANTCCTCCGCTGCTCCTCTGATCCCACCCTCTGCCTCTTCCCCCTCCTCCTCCCCTCCCCCTCTCCCCTCCTCCACCGCTCCCCCTTTGGCGCTCCCTTCCGCCGCTCCCTCCATGCATGATTGATTGATGGATTGATTGATTGACCGATTGATTGATTGATTGATCAGTCCCGCCCGACTACCTCCGCGACCAGCATCCAAAATCAAATCGATTATAATCGATTCGATTCTAAAATCGCGGCGCAGAGGCAACAGGACGGGCCAGTCAGCTGCCTGACTGGCTTATCCAGTTGCCTCTGCCACACGATTTCGAAATTCGATTGAATTTCGAAATCGAGTCGCAAAGGCAATTGAACGGGTCAGTCAAGCAGATGACTGGCTCGTCCAGTTGCCTCTGCGATGCAATTTCGAAATCGGATTTATTTCGTAGTCGATTCAATTTCAGAATCCCGTCATGGTAAAAAAAAAAAAAAAAAAATCCAAAAAAATTTGGAACACTTATATGTTGTGCAGCATTAGCGTACAAGAAACATTTGCCTTAGCACCAGCACGAAATTTGTGTTCAAAATGTGGCACTGCCCCGTTAACGCGCTGCCCCTTTAGGGCTTCGAGGTACCGGACTACAATGGTTGGGAGCGCAAGCAAAAAAAAAATTGAAACGGTACCCCAGCGCTTCAGCAAAAATTGGCGCGCAAGGGCATTCCGGGCTCGAAATCAATGGCCAAGCACTGGTGGTTTGATAAGAATTTTGTGATGGTGCTTAGGAAACTGCTTTTTGTATGGAGATGCTGCACAACATAATTTTGTTTTAGAGTTTTTGAAGGCCGATTTTTTTTTTTTTCTCGCCCTCACAACGCAATTCTGAAATTGAATCAATTACGTAATCAATTCTATTTTGAAATCGCTCCGCAGAGGCAACTGGACGGGCCAGTCGGGCAGCTGAGTGGCCCGTCCAGTTGCCTCTACAACGCGATTTCGAAGTCGAATCGATTACGTAATCGATTACAGAATCTCATCACGGAGGCAGCCGAGCGGGACTGATCAATCAATCAATCACGTATGGCGGGGGGGGGGAGGAGCAGCGGTAGGGAGCCCCGAAGGGGCGGACGGCAAAGGAGAGGAGAGGGGGAGGGGAGGGGCTGTCTCTTATACACATCTAGATGTGTATAAGAGACAGCACACACACACACATCTCCATGCCTCTCTCTCTCTCTCTCTCTCTCTCTCTCTCTCTCACACACACACACCCACACCCACACCCACACACACACACACCCACACCCACACCCACACACACACACACACACACACACACACACACACACACACACACACACCTCCACGCACACGCACACATACACCCTTGCACCAGTTTATCTGTCAGTTACTGTTGGGATTCCTCTGGCTGTATTGGGGTTCTTTGTTTCCCTGCTGGGTGAGCATGGTGATTTACCTTCTCTTGTTTGGGATGTAGGACATTTGATGTTACTACGTGTTGCTGTGTGCTTAGATTTCCCTTGAGGCTTAGAATTTTCTTGAGGCATATGTGCATCCTTAAACCAGGTTTGACAGGTATCAGGTGTTGTACAGTTGTTGTTGGTCTGTGTGATTCCTCTGTTGCAGAGTTGTTATTTCTGCTGCAGTCTTCGTTCCGAGGTCTCATATTTTTGTTTTCTGCTCTCCTTCGTCTTTACTCTGCTTGCTCAGTCCTGAACATAAACTGCTCCTCTTCATTTTAGGGATGAAATCGCACTGGGCTATCAGATGCCCGGGAAAGGTAAGGCAGCCGCTTACTCCACGAACTCCAATAAGAAGGCAATGATCGAGGTCCGTGCTGGGCAACGTTCACGCCTGAAACAGCAAAGAGTTATCTTGCTGAAGGGGTGGAGCTTTAAAAAAAAAAGAAAAAAAGGAAAAAAGCATTCCGATCTGGAGATTCTGAACCAGACTGGTAGATAACTCCACGATGAGCTGCAAGTAAGCTGCAAGGAATGCTCATTATTGTTTTAAGGACTGGTTGTAGTGTCAAACTGTAATTAAACTGCTGGTACGTATCCCCTGCTATGGAAACAAGTATGCGGCTTGTATACTGGTGCAACTTTTGGGACACGGCCTCTGGAGCAAAATGGCTGGTGGCACCAGCCACAAGGAGGGCCCCACCTATTTGTTTTTTTCTTTGGTGCACCGTGTGTTTTGAGGCTTGGCAGGGGGAGGGTCAAAAGTACTGGTGGTATAACATCTATCCTCAGCGTAATTGAGAAAATATTTACGAAGTACGATTGATAGATCTTGAAATTTATTGTTATCCTAGCTGAGGAGAGGTTCATGTTCTCATGGTCAGCCTTGGCATTCACATGGTTATGAAGTTCCCATCAGGCTTGTGTGTGTGTGTGTGTGTGTGTGTGTGTGTGTGTGTGTGTGCGTGTGTGTGAGAGAGAGAGAGAGAGGTCACGGTCATTGTAGTTGAGCGCAAGCTGCCCTCATCCCCGTGTGCCATAACGGCATACTTGCACATTACGAATGGAGGCAGATTAAAAGAGAAGTTACTCTCCTGCTCATTTGTCAGCAGATCTTCAACTTTGTGTTTTGTCTCTTCTCCTAATGATGCTCTTTCGTATGCAATTAGTACTACTGCACAATGGGAGGAAAGAAAGAAAGGGGCAGGGGGAGGAGTTCAAAACAGAGGAAAGGCAAACTTCACAGGTTGTTCAGTACTCACCGCCAGAACAGACTACTGTAGAATGGCACTAGAGACGTCCTTCGGGACATCTGTTAAAATTGGAACGATACAGAGAAAATTAGCATGGCCCCTGCGGAAGGATTAAAAAAAAAAAGAATGGCACTAGAGGCCAGTCATTGTCTGGGTTACAGGGAACTCTGAGTCGAGGAGCAGGCATTGCCTATGGTAAGTGGCCACTGCCACAGAGCGACAGAGATTAAATTTGTTTTTTTTTTAGGTGGCACCTAACCAGACCCACAATTGTTTTTCCCCGGCATAGCTCGTCCTCACCCAAAAAAGAAAATTCTGCTTCGAGCTAACCCGGCCTGTAGTAACATCCAAGATAACATCCTCCTGGTCAACTAGATGGTCAAGCTGACAAGACAGTCAAAATATAACGCAGCGATCATGTTCATTGACTCCGAGAAGGCGTATGACCACTAAGACTGGACTTTCCTAGACAAGTGCCTGGAAAAACTCAACTTTGGGCTTATAGGGCTATGCTCCAGACGTTGGGTGGAGATCCTCCACCCAAACACAATCACCAGTGTCATGGTGAATGGCTGCGTAGCACAGCGAACGTGTTCGCGCCCCTTCACGTTCGCGCTTTCGCGTGAACAGCTCGCGAACATGTTCGGGCGAACAATTTTCTTTTTCCCATAAAAAAATAAAATAAAAAAATTAATTTTGTTTTTTGGTTTTGGATTTTTAACTCATTATTGGCAACGAATTTGAACATGACTCCAAGGCAAAAGTTGCTTGTATTGTTATTTTACATAACATATATTTTTTTTTTCAGATTTTTCTAAGAACTTTTTTTGTTTTCAATATTTTTTATGTTCACGTTCGGAGGGTTTTGGGCGCTTGTTCGCATTCGGGCGAACATGTTCGCGTTTGCCTCTGAACGCGAATACGGTGCTACGTAGGCGAACGGCAATTTGGCCCCACCCATCAACCTCCAGAGGTCCGTCAGAAAGGGAGATCCTATAGCTCCTTACATTTTCGTCATGGTCATAGAGGTGCTGGCAGCGAACCTGAGGACCCACAAGGACATCAAGAAAATCCAAGTGTCCTCAATACCCAAGGAGGCAATCCCAGTCTGCTCATTGTCTACAAATGACCTGACCCTGATGGTGGATGCATCTAGAGAATCAATGGCAGAATTCCGGCACATGATGAATCTCTTCTGCAGATTGTCAGATATGAAGGCTAATTGGGGAAACAAAACCCAGGGATGGTGGATGGGCGAGACCCCCAAAACAACCCAGACTCAAATTGCTCCCCAAGGAAGCCCCCATTAGAATGCTTTAAATCTCGATGACAGCAGAAGGCAGACTCTTCTAACATCAAGTGAATCTCTAGTCCGCCCCTGGCAAAAATGACACTTTGGAGAGAGAAGCACACCTCACTGTTTGGGCGCTCCTTGATAATTAAGAATGTGGTGCTGGCCTCTCTGTGGTACAAATTAGCAATCTGGGCATCAGACAAGAATGCCTTACGCCCCTGGCAACATCAGGTAGCCGCCTTTTTGTGGCGGGGCAACCACGAGAAATACAATGTGATCAACCGAGTGGCATGGCAGTCTATCCACCTCAGAACAAAGGCAGCCTGGGCCAACACAAACTAAATTGTTGGCGATACAGTCGCTCAAACACCTGCTGTTCAGTCCCGAATCCCCTTGGAGAGGGTTAGCCTTGGAACAAATAACCCGATTAGCACCGTACATAGCGGAAGGGAGTGACCCGCTGATGTGGTTGGAAAACAGGGGATGGCCCATCCCAAGACGAAGATCAGTGTAACGGAATCCCCCACCCAACGCACCTAAACAAGCAACAAGGGCTAACCTGTGAAATGACCCCTTTTGACCCACCCTTCTTAAAACATGGAGAAGCTTCCCCCTAGCAAACAAAATCTCGCCTGAAAGATAGGAGAAGGTGGCCCGACAACCTGTTTTTGGTAACAGATGGGTGGTGGACTCAAAGGGCCAGACTCTCCCCTGCATGGACTCGCTTTCGCAGGGCGGGGTCAAGTGAGGGATATGGGACAGAGACAAGAGAGACTGGATTTTCCCCTGACAGCGACGAGAGAGACTGCCATATTGCCACCGGCCACAGAAAGCCTTGGAGGCTATGGTAGAAAAGATCCCCCTAACTTGGTGGAGAATCCTTTGCAAAGGCCCCACCCTGCAAGAGTCGGACTGGGTGGCAAATTTTTGAGCGGCAAGGAGAGGTGGGCAATGTAGTCTGCTGCAATCCTGAAGGAACAAGTAGGGGAGGGCAACGTCATCCAAAGTAGAGGGGGGGGAAGCGTCATCCAAAGAAGCACTCCAGTTTCCAGAATAAACAATAATATGCCAAAAAAAGGACTATTTAGAATCAGAGTGTTCCTCGAAAGAGAGCAATGGATGGCCTACCTCCCCCAAACCCCAGTCCATCACCTGAACCTAGACTCGCTGGAACGGACATGGACGAACCCAATGGGGAAGGCAGGAGATGCACCAAA